GGGGTCACGGGGAGACCCTTCCGCTGGATTCAGTGTGTCACTGGGAGACATATCTACAGGATTCATGGGGTCACTGGGAGATCCTTCCCCTGGATTCATGGGGTCACTGGGAGATCCTTCCCCTGGATTCATGGGGTCACTGGGAGATCCTTCCCCTGGATTCATGGGGTCACTGGGAGATCCTTCCCCTGGATTCATGGGGTCACTGGGAGACCCTTCCACTATATTCATGGTGACCCTTCCACAAGATTCATGGGGTCAGAGGGAGATCCTTTCACTGGATACATGGGGTCACGAGGTGACGGGGAGACTGTTCTGCTGGATTCATGGAGTAATGGGGAGAGATCTATCTACAGGATTCATGGGGTCAAAGGGAGATCCTTCCACTGGATTCATGAGGGGACACATACACAGGTTTCATGGGGTCACGGGGAGACCCTTCCGTAGGATTCATGGGGTGATGAGGTGACGGGGAGACCGTTCTGCTGGATTCATGCGGTCACAGGGGGACATATCTACAGGATTCATGGAGTCATGGGGAGACCCTTCTGCAGGATTTATGGGGTCACGGGGAGACGCTTCCGCAGGATTCTTGAGGTCACAGGGGGACATATCTAAAGGATTCATGGGATCATGGGGTGACAAATCCACCAGATTCATGGAAATGCTTCCACCAGATTCATGGGGGATACTTCTGCTGCATTCTTGGGGTCACAGGAATTGGAAGGAGATGGAATAGAACACGGGTAGTCAGTAGCAGTGAAGCTCTGCGGCGGCGCGGGGCTCTGCGGAGGCGAGGATTGGGAGGACAGACAAGACATTCTGAGTCCGGTGAGCATTCTTCGGAGTTTGCAAACCACTGGAAAGGCATTCGGAGAATCTGCCTGAACTGGATCTGGTTGGGAGGAGATTTGGACTTCAGAGGGTTCTTCTGACTCAGAAGGTAGAATTTAGGATTAGAAGAGGACAGGCCTGGATGAATCTTCAAACTTCAATAGCAGTGAATTTTGCTGTGGGTGAGATTTGGGGTGTTGGGCCCTGCGGGGGGGGGGGGGGGGGGGCCTCTCAGTCTATAGACTCTTCAGATCACGATTTACTGCAGCAGCCTCTCAGGACTGACCTGTCCGAAAAGGAGATTGGGATGTTCAACCTCCATTCCCTCTCCTCCTCCATATCTCTGCCCTCCTCCCCATCACATGACGCACCTTGAACCTTTAATCTGCCTGCACATCCTGACTGCCTGCCGGAGCTCTGGTGACGCGGTGTAATGCGCTAAGGAGCGGTTCTATGAACCGCCAGCCAACCAGATGCATCTAGATATGCAGGGAGGTCAGAAGGAGGTTGTATCTGCACCAAATTTGAAGGAACATTGATATGTGATGGGCAACCGCAGGCAAGCGTTCTCATATGGCACGGTGCTGGAACAAGGTGGGAGAGCTGTGGGACCACAGGATCAGAGCTTGCACCCAAGACTTGCCCGGCCCAGATTGAAATGAGGAGGAGGCCCCCCCCCCCCCCCACGGAGACAGAGGTCAGTAGCCGTATCGCAGCTTTGAATAGAGCCCAGCGCACTTAACTTCTTAAATTCAGGTCTTACTAATTGAAAGATCCTTCCATAGGACAAGAGGTGTGGAAGATGGTTGGAGATCAAGACTTGAATTCAACTTTTCTATGCGGTTTGGATTCACCATCACCCTCTCCTCTGTGATGGATGACCTTTGCAACCTATCGGCCTCATTCTCTCCTTGTGTTGCCCCCACTGTCTTCTCCCTTGGGTTCCCCTATGGAATCTTCCGGATCCAGATATACATAGTGACCTCTGGTTGGAGTTATGGATGTCCTGACCCAAATGTCCATGGTGATCTCTGGTAGGAGCTGCGGCTGTTGTCACCACAGACTGCTCTGTCATGAATGTCCTGGGTGTTACTACAGACAACTCTGCTATGGATCTCCTATGGATCATCTCCCTGGGGTTCTCTTATGGAATTCTCTGAACCCAAATGTCCATGGTGACTTCTGGTTGGAGTTCCATGTGTTGTCACCACAGACTGCTCTGTCATGAATCTCCTGGGTGTTACTACAGACAACTCTGCTATGGATCTCCTATGGATCATCTCCCTGGGGTTCTCTTATGGAATTCTCTGAACCCAAATGTCCATGGTGACTTCTGGTTGGAGTTCCATGTGTTGTCACCACAGATGGCTCTTTCATGGATCTCCTGGGTGTTACTACAGACAACTCTGCTATGGATCTCCTATGGATCATCTCCCTGGGGTTCTCTTATGGAATTCTCTGAACCCAAATGTCCATGGTGACTTCTGGTTGGAGTTCCATGTGTTGTCACCACAGATGGCTCTTTCATGGATCTCCTGGGTGTTGTCACTGCAAATGACTGTGTCATGGATCTCCTAGGTCACATCTTTTGCTGTTCCTACTCATGGTTTCTCCTTATGGAATTCCTTGGATCCAAATGTCCACTGTGACCTCTGATTGGAGATCTTGGGTATTGTCACCACTGATGGCTTGTTAATGGATCTCTGGGTCTTGTCACTACAGACTACTCTCTCATGGATCTCCCTGGTCACATTTTGTGCAGTCCCTACTTATGGCTTCTCCCTGGGGCTTTCCTATAGAATCCTCCAGATCCAAATGGCCATAGTGACCTCTGGTTGGGGGTTCCAGGTGTTGTTCCTACAGACAACTGTCATGGATTTCACATTCTGTGCAGATTTTTGTGTGATGGATGGTCACGTTCTGTGCAGTTCCTACTCATTGATTCTCGTTAGGGCTCCCTTATGAATCCTCCATACCCAAATGTCTGACCTCTGGTTGGAGTTCCGAGTATTGTCACCACAGATGGCTTGGTTATGGATCTCACAGGTCACATTCTGTGATGTCTGATCCAAATGGCCATAGTGACCTCAGGTTGGGGTTCCAGGTGTTGTCACTACTGGATTTCTGAGGTCACATTCTGTGTCATTCCTACTCACTGATTCTCGTTAGGGCTCCCTTATGAATCCTCCAGACCCAAATGTCTATGTTGACCCCTGGTTGGAGTTCCGCGTATTGTCACCACAGATCGCTTGGTTATGGATCTCACAGGTCTCAAAGCTATGGCTCTCCAGGTGTAGAGGAACTGCAAGTCCCATGAAGCCTTGCAAGACTCTGACCGCCAGAGGCAAGACTCGCAGAGGCATGATGGGACTTGTAGTACTTCAACAGCTGGAGGGCCATAGTTTGGAGACCCCTGTCCTAGACCCAAATGTCCTTGGTGATCTCTGGTAGGAGCTCCGGCTGTTGTCACCACAGACTGCTCTGTCATGGATCTCCTGGGTGTTGTTACTGCAGTCAACTCTGCTATGGATCTCCTATGGATCACCTCCCTGGGGTTCTCTTATGGAATTCTCTGGACCCAAATGTCCATGGTGACCTCTGGTTTGAGTTCCGTGTGTTGTCACCACAGACTTCTCTGTCATGGATCTCCTGGGTGTTGTCACTACAAATGACTGTGTGATGGATCTCCTAGGCCACATCTTGTGCTGTTCCTACTCATGGTTTCTCCTTATGGAATTCCTTGGTTCCAAATGTCCACTTTGACCTCTGATTGGAGATCTTGGGTATTGTCACCACTGATGGCTTGTTAATGGATCTGAGACGTTTGGTAGGGTTGTGGGCAAGGGGAAAGGGTTGCTACGGGTCTACAGAAAGGGATCCCGGCTGGAGCTCCTCAGATGGTTGTGAAGAGTTGGGTGACCCATATTTATCACCAGTCGGTGGACATCCTCTGTGCTGAAATCCTGCTCGCGGGTCCAACACGTTATAAATTGCTTCTGCTGCAGTAGATGGAACTGGATGAGATTTAGGTTTGCTCTGTGCGCCTCCATCATCCACCCATCCATCCATCATCCATCCATCCATCATCATCAGTTGTCATTTTATTATAATTCCAGTTTTGTTTTCCTCCTTTATTTGTTATATTTCTGTGCTGCTCATCTCCTGCAGCCTCTTTTCAGCCACTTCCTGTCTGCATGCCCCTCCCCCACTGATGGCTGCATGACACTTCTCGGGGTGGGTCTCCTGATGGTGACAACGGTGAACGGTTTCTGTATAGTCTCCCCAAACGGCGAGTTGTAACCTCCTTTAGAAGTTCATGTGACAACAGAGGAGCAATCATCGGAAGACGGGGCAGAATGTTGTCCCCCTCTAACGGGAAGTGCCTGAACGAGGACCTCCATGGAAAGGTCTCCAGGGATTCTCTTCATAAAAAATCCATAACTTTTTGAATTCTCTTGAACATGTTAAAGATGATTTCAGATTTGGCTGATCGGTGAACTCCCGACTCTGCAGTCGGCTGACTGTGGACCTCCTCTGTATAGCGGCTTCTCGTTTATAGCGCCCTGGTAGGTTCACGTTCCTCCAAGTGACTTACTATGACAGGTAGCAGCACATGGTGCGGTGTCACCGGGGACAGCTGCAGACGCTCCTCTGCCTGATGGTGTCACCGGGGACAGCTGGAGACGCTCCTCTGCCTGATGGTGTCACTGGGGACAGCTGGAGATGGTTTTTCTCCCTGGGGGGGGAGGTTTGTTGTGCTTTCTTACCCCGGATAATGAATGGTGAGCTCCTGTGTGTACACCGGCAATGCTGAATGTATGCACCACAAATCACCGGGTGGAGCCGTCGCCCTTCCCCGGGTGGAGCCGTCGCCCTTCCCCGGGTGGAGCCGTCGCCCTTCCCCGGGTGGAGCCGTCGCCCTTCCCCGGGTGGAGCCGTCGCCCTTCCCCGGGTGGAGCCGTCGCCCTTCCCCGGGTGGAGCCGTCGCCCTTCCCCGGGTGGAGCCGTCGCCCTTCCCCGGGTGGAGCCGTCGCCCTTCCCCGGGTGGAGCCGTCGCCCTTCCCCGGGTGGAGCCGTCGCCCTTCCCCGGGTGGAGCCGTCGCCCTTCCCCGGGTGGAGCCGTCGCCCTTCCCCGGGTGGAGCCGTCGCCCTTCGTCTTCAAGACTCATTCCAGGTTCTTCTCTCTATCCCACCGAACCTTCAGTGTCACCTCCACTTCCTTATTCTGTAGGAGTGCTACAAGGCTCTGTCCTCAAGACCCCTCTCTTCCAATGCCTCCAGTGGCCTCCATTCAGTGTCCTCCACCCCTCTCTGCCAATCCCTGCACTGGCCTTCATTCAGTATCCTTCACCCCTCTCTACCAATCCCTCCACTGGCCTCCAGTCCATGTCCTCCACCCCTCTCTACCAATCCCTGCACTGGCCTTCATTCAGTATCCTTCACCCCTCTCTACCAATCCCTCCACTGGCCTCCAGTCCGTGACCTCCACCCCTCTCTGCCAATCCCTCCACTGGCCTCCATTCAGTGTCCTCCACCCCTTCTCTGCCAATCCCTCCACTGGCCTCCATTCAGTGTCCTCCACCCCTCTCTGCCAATCCTCCACTGGCCTCCATTCAGTGTCCTCCACCCCTCTCTGCCAATCCCTCCACTGGCCTCCATTCAGTGTCCTCCACCCCTTCTCTGCCAATCCCTCCACTGGCCTCCATTCAGTGTCCTCCACCCCTCTCTGCCAATCCCTCCACTGGCCTCTCCCATCCTCTGGAACTCCCTTCCCCAATCTGTCCGGCTATCTCCTGCTCAGTCCACCTTTAACTGATCCCTGAAATCCTATCCTACCTCCACCTAACGCCCCCCCCCTCACCGTAGTGTAAATGGGGCCGTGTGGGGCCGTTCATCATGCAGGCGGTACACCCCCCCCCCCCCTCACCGTAGTGTACATGGGGCCGTGTGGGGCCGTTCATCATGCAGGCGGTACACCCCCCCCCTCACCGTAGTGTAAATGGGGCCGTGTGGGGACCTTCATGCAGGCGGTACACCCCCCCCCCTCACCGTAGTGTACATGGGGCCGTGTGGGGCCGTTCATCATGCAGGCGGTACACCCCCCCCCACCGTAGTGTAAATGGGGCCGTGTGGGGACCTTCATGCAGGCGGTACACCCCCCCCCCTCACCGTAGTGTACATGGGGCCGTGTGGGGCCGTTCATCATGCAGGCGGTACACCCCCCCCCCCTCACCGTAGTGTAAATGGGGCCGTGTGGGGACCTTCATGCAGGCGGTACACACCCCCCCCCTCACCGTAGTGTACATGGGGCCGTGTGGGGCCGTTCATCATGCAGGCGGTGAGGTCAGACAGGTGGGTTGTTGGTTCACATTCCTTGGCTTCTGTCCTCTGACCTCTGGAATGTTCCACCTCTGAGGAGACCGGCAGCAGTCAGTGCCGAGACTCGCATCGCCAGGGGGGAATATCTGGATTCAGGATCTGGTGTTCTCTATGAAGTTCTGACTCGTAGGTGTGATTCCTCCCCGACCTTCTGTGCCAGATCATGGGTGCAAACGTACCCAACCTGGGGGGTGTGAACTCTCGGGGGTCTGTCCGCTACCCCTGGCAACCGTCTGTGGGGAAGGGTCCGCTACCCCTGGCAACCGTCTGTGGGGAAGGGTCCACTACCCCCTTGCAACCGTCTGTGGGGAAGGGTCCGCTACCCCCTGGCAACCGTCTGTGGGGAAGGGTCCGCTACCCCCTGGCAACCGTCTGTGGGGAAGGGTCCGCTACCCCCTGGCAACCGTCTGTGGGGAAGGGTCTGCTACCCCCTGGCAACCGTCTGTGGGGAAGGGTCCGCTACCCCCTGGCAACCAACTGTGGGGAAGGGTGTGCTACACCTGGTAACCGTCTGTGGGGAAGGGTCCGCTACCTCTGGCAACCGTCTGTGGGGAAGGGTCCGCTACCCCTGGCAACCGTCTGTGGGGAAGGGTGCGCTACACCTGGCAACCGTCTGTGGGGAAGGGTCCGCTACACCTGGCAACCGTCTGTGGGGAAGGGTCCGCTACACCAGGCAACCGTCTGTGGGGAAGGGTCCGCTACCCCTGGCAACCGTCTGTGGGGAAGGGTCCGCTACCCCTGGCAACCGTCTGTGGGGAAGGGTCCGCTACCCCTGGCAACCGTCTGTGGGGAAGGGTCCGCTACCCCTGGCAACCGTCTGTGGGGAAGGGTCCGCTACCCCTGGCAACCGTCTGTGGGGAAGGGTCCGCTACCCCTGGCAACCGTCTGTGGGGAAGGGTCCGCTACCCCTGGCAACCGTCTGTGGGGAAGGGTCCGCTACCCCTGGCAACCGTCTGTGGGGAAGGGTCCGCTACCCCTGGCAACCGTCTGTGGGGAAGGGTGCGGCAACCGTCTGTGGGGAAGGGTCCGCTACACCTGGCAACCGTCTGTGGGGAAGGGACCGCTACACCTGGAAACCGTCTGTGGGGAAGGGACCGCTACACCTGGAAACCGTCTGTGGGGAAGGGTGTGCTACACCTGGCAACCGTCTGTGGGGAAGGGACTGCTACACCTGGCAACCGTCTGTGGGGAAGGGTCTGCTACCCCTGGCAACCGTCTGTGGGGAAGGGTCTGCTACCCCTGGCAACCGTCTGTGGGGAAGGGTCTGCTACCCCTGGCAACCGTCTGTGGGGAAGGGTCTGCTACCCCTGGCAACCGTCTGTGGGGAAGGGTCTGCTACCCCTGGCAACCGTCTGTGGGGAAGGGTCTGCTACCCCTGGCAACCGTCTGTGGGGAAGGGTCTGCTACCCCTGGCAACCGTCTGTGGGGAAGGGTCTGCTACCCCTGGCAACCGTCTGTGGGGAAGGGTCTGCTACCCCTGGCAACCGTCTGTGGGGAAGGGCGTGGCAACCGTCTGTGGGGAAGGGTCTGCTACCCCTGGCAACCGTCTGTGGGGAAGGGTCTGCTACCCCTGGCAACAGTCTGTGGGGAAGGGTCTGCTACCCCTGGCAACCATCTAATTCCTCAGAAATCTGGATCTGGTCTGGAGGAAGGTGAATGAAGGTCTCATAATGAGTCCTCAAGTTTCTTTTATGTTCTTTACACTCCCAGCGCTGAGCACTCTACACCTGGCACCCCACACTTGGCTCCCTCCGCCTGGCACCCCACACTTGGCTCCCTCCGCCTGGCACCCCACACTTGGCTCCCTCCGCCTGGCACCCCTACTCCTGGTACCCTACACCCAACATTTGGCTATCTACACTTGGCACCCGTACACTTGGAACCCTACTCCTGGCACCCCACATTTGGCTCCCTACTCCTGGCACCCCACACCAAACATTTGGCTCCCTACACCTGGAACCCCACACCCAACATTCAGCTCCCCACACCTGGCACCCCACACCCCTACACTCAGGGCCATTCCGTGGCACTATGAAGCAGATTGCTGATCTCTGCGATGGTCCTTCCTAGGCCCGATCCCGTCCGTGTGATTCTACTCCACGTCCCGGCCATGTGTCAGCCCGGCTATTAATGTCATTGTAATGTGATCCATGTTTTATGATGGTGGTGTTTGTGGTGGTGGGGGGGGGGGGGTGTTTTGGTGTGGGTGGTGATGGTGGTGATGTTTGTGGTGGTGGGTGGGGTGATGTTTATGGTGGTGGTTGTGGTGGTGGTGGTGGGATGGTGGTGATGGTGGTGGTGTTTGTGGTGATGATGATGGTGAGCAGGCCCCCAGACTCAGCACAGGGATGGTGAGAAGCCCTCATAATGGGCCCAGCGGATGTACAGACCCGGGAACTCAGCACAGGGATGGTGGGAACCCCTCATAATGAGCACAGCGGGTGTACAGATCCGGGGACTCGGCACAGGGATGGTGGGAACCCCTCATAATGGGCACAGGGATGGTGGCGGGGTTACAGAACCAGGAACTTCTAGAGATCCAGAGAGATGGAGGAACTTTCAGCAGATGGCCCAGTGTGAGTTCATTGTGGACTGGCATGTGAAGTGCTATGGTATATGTTGGTGTTATATCTGCGAGAAGTGACGGTTTGGAGGATATTTGGTCTGTAGACATCTAGGTCCTCTGTGACTAATGTTTGAGGTTTTCATGTCGTCATGGCTCTGGTTATCATCAATGTGGGTTAGTGGTGAGGAGGAAGTGAGTCACTATGGAGGAAATGGGACTCTGCGGGGGAAGGGCCGGTATTCTATGATAAGATTCTCCCTGAGACGTGTTTTTATACATACGTGACGTTGTCACTTTCACATTGTGTTCTGGGTGTATTTATACAGGAGGTGGTTGGATGGGAGGGAGGTGATTGGGTGGTAGAACATTAGATAGGAGGAGGTTGAGCGGTAGAGGATTGGATGGGAAGAGGTTGAGTGGTAGAACATTGGATGGGAGGCGGGTTGGGTGGTAGAGGATTGGATGGGAGGCAGTTGGGTGGTAGAGGATTGGATGGGAGGAGGTTGGGGTGTAGAACATTGGATGGGAGGCGGTTGGGTGGTAGAACATTGAATGGGAGGCGGTTGGGGTGGTAGAACATTGGATGGGAGGCGGTTGGGGTGGTAGAACGTTGGATGGGAGGCGGTTGGGGTGGTAGAACGTTGGATGGGAGGCGGTTGGGTGGTAGAACGTTGGATGGGAGGCGGTTGGGGTGGTAGAACGTTGGATGGGAGGCGGTTGGGGTGGTAGAACGTTGGATGGGAGGCGGTTGGGGTGGTAGAACGTTGGATGGGAGGCGGTTGGGGTGGTAGAACGTTGGATGGGAGGCGGTTGGGGTGGTAGAACGTTGGATGGGAGGCGGTTGGGGGAGGTAGAGCGTTGGATGGGAGGCGGTTGGGGGAGGTAGAGCGTTGGATGGGAGGCGGTTGGGGGAGGTAGAGCGTTGGATGGGAGGCGGTTGGGGGAGGTAGAGCGTTGGACCGGATGCGGTTGGGTGGTAGAGCGTTGGACCGGATGCGGTTGGGTGGTAGAGCGTTGGACCGGATGCGGTTGGGTGGTAGAGCGTTGGACCGGATGCGGTTGGGTGGTAGAGCAGTGGACCTGGATGCGGTTGGGTGGTAGAGCGTTGGACGGGAGGCGGGTGGGTGGTAGAGCGTTGGACCGGATGCGGTTGGGTGGTAGAGCGTTGGACCGGATGCGGTTGGGTGGTAGAGCGTTGGACCGGATGCGGTTGGGTGGTAGAGCGTTGGACCGGATGCGGTTGGGTGGTAGAGCGTTGGACCGGATGCGGTTGGGTGGTAGAGCGTTGGACCGGATGCGGTTGGGTGGTAGAGCATTGGACCGGATGCGGTTGGGTGGTAGAGCATTGGACGGGAGGCGGGTGGGTGGTAGAACATTACATGGGAGGCCATTTGATTTTTCGGTGGAAGTGGGGTCGGTCTCATCCTCTTGCTCCAGGTGGTTGGACTCACCAGTGGTCGGTCTTCCCAGCCTCCAGTACTTGGAAGAAGCCGGGCCGGATAACAGCTGCTCTGATTATTGTCTTGAGCTATTTCCAGACTCTTCCCCCGACAAGGTGAAATATCTGAGATGCTTGTCACTCGATCACAGGATGTTATAATGTGGAGAGGAAGGATCGGTGACACCAGATATGGGGACACTGGGACAATGGGCACCGACACAATGGCACTGCAAAGAGGGACAGGCCTACAGTAGAGCTACAGACATGGGGAACCCCAAGAATATGGAATG